GCCAAATCATCAGTATGAAATAAGAGTGTTTGTCTTTTCTACCTGCTGTAGCAAAAGTGCATACATCTGATTCAGCTTAAAACTTTAAGCTATACTTTCAAGGGGTGAGGGAGGATGGGCTGAGAACAGTTTAACTCTGTTTAACTTTGAATTAAATTTGTCAAAGTATGTTTTTTACTAACATTGAACTTTAACTGCTGTTTATTTTATATATGATACAGGAAAATAACCTGTATGCATTGCATGCCTGGGTTTTTTATTGGTTTGGGTATTTTTGTTTGTTTGTTTTTGCTTTCTTTTGAATTAGTACAAAAACCTGAGGATTTTTACTAGAAACCCCGTATCTTGATGAGGCAGACTTATTTTATCTGAAACCTGCTTAACCTTTGGGCAGCTTTTTAGTTTGGAAAGTTAGGTTATACCATTTGTCCGGAAAATAATTAGCATCAGTCCATAAATCTGGGACATAAAATGTTTCCCTTTGGAGGATGTAAAAGACTATTTTTAAAGGCATTCCAAGTGGGCTGTTCCTATAGAGTTTACAGAGGTTCTCAGTTCATGAACTTATTGCAGCAGGCAAATCATAAATAGTTCTTATGTCCAAAAAGAACATGATTTTCAAATATACATTTATCTCAGAAATTCTAATGCTTCTGTCTTTATCTTCCAGGAAAGACATAGTTCAGTTCAAATTATTGTTTAAAAGTTTCTGTTTTGTTTTTTACCTTTTACCTTTTGAGCATATGAGTTATCCTGGGTTTCATTGTCTAATATGATAGTATTTTAAATGTTTTAAGCAATTTAATGCTTACAAAATTTTTTCCTGGTTTTTAAAATTTCCGCTTTATAATAAGAAGTGACTTTAATTAATTGCTTTTCTCCTCCATTTCAGAACTGGGTAGGCTAACATTTTACTGCATAAATGAATAACTGCCATTTTTCTCTTACTGCTATACATTTGTTTCATCTCTGATTAGACTTACATCTCAACTAAATCATATTTAATTTGCATGCAGTACTCTACCAATTACTATTAGTGCTTATAAGATGCTGGGCCCTGCTTGTCAAGGTGATTGAACTCTGAAATAATAAATGACTTGCCTCATCCAACACAGGAGAACCAGGATTCAAACCCTGGGATGCCGTGCTTCAAACAGCCGTCTTTCAGCCATTTTATATACTCTCTTTCAGCTATACCAAGGATACTGTTTGAACTTATAGATCATGAGGCATTAATTAAAACTTAAGTTATAGCCAGGTTTGGTGGCTCACGCCTGTAATCCCAACACTTTGGGAGGCTGAGGCACATGGATCACCTGAGGTCAGTAGTTCAAGACCAGCCTGGTCCACATGGCAAAACCCCATCTCTACTAAAAATACAAAACTTAGCCAAGTGTGGTGGCTTGCGCCTGTAGTCCCAGCTGCTCAGGAGGCTAAGGCAGGAGAATTGCTTGAACCTGTGGATGGAGGTTGCAGTGAACCGAGATCATGCCACTGATGTCCAATGGATGGCCAGATGCCATATTTTTCCCTGTTTCTTTTTTTTTTTTTTTTTGAGATGGAGCCTTGCTCTGTCACCCAGTCTAGTGTACAGTGGCGCGATCTCGGCTCACTGCAACTCTGCCTCCCGAGTTCAAGCTATTCTCCTGCCTCAGCCTGCCAAGTAGCTGGGACTACAGGCGCGTGCCACCACACCCGACTAATTTCTGTATTTTTAGTTGGGACGGGGTTTCGCCATGTTGGCCAGGCTGGTCTCGAACTCCTGACCTCAGGTGATCCATCCGTTTCAGCCTCCCAAAGTGCTGGGATTACAGGCATAAACCACTGTGCCCAGCCTCCCCTGTTACTTTTTAAATCACTTATAAAATGAAAGAAAGAAAGGTTCAGAGAAACTCTTAAATGGTGAATATCCTGTCTTTTTTATATCAGCATAAGATGTTGTTTTCTTGCTCAAGTATTTCTAATATAGGTATTTTCAAGCCTTATGTTATAAGTTGTTGATTTGTGATCATGGATTTTAGGAATTATGGACAAGACAATAAAAAACTAGAACTGTAAAGATCAAGTCCAATGCTCCCAGATAGGAAGAAGTGGCAGAAAAATTGACCTAGCACAACTCATTTGAAAGACAATGTTGTGCCTAAGTTGTCATAATCTTGGGAAAATAGGAATTCAAACTGTGTATTGCTAAATAGTCTACAGATCAGTGATTGAAAAATATCTCTCGGTATAAGGACACAAGGGCCACTTTTATATTTTACTGCTCTTATTTTTAAATTTTCATTTTATTAGACCACTAGCTAGTATAGTTTTTCTGTTACTTTCATTGAATTCCCCTGAGATAGCTAAAATTATTGTTCATAGTGATAATCTTTTATCATAGAACCAAGAACACTTGTTTGTACAAACGTCAGAAGTCCTAAAGATTACCACTACAATAAGAGTGTAAATGAAGTCTAATTCTGCTTTTTAAAGTTATCAGAAGTTCTTATAAAGGCATTAGTTTAGAAAAATCTTAGTGTTTATTACTTTGCAAAAGGTTATAAAAATATCTTAGTATTTGAAGTCAGGTTTTCATTTGTACATGCAGTTCCCAATTTATAAATTCATCCTTTGAAGTTTGTTAGAGGGCAACATGTGTTTTTTTCCTACATTTTTTCATAGAAATTGAATTATGCTTTAAATAATTAATGCCATAATGTATTAGAAAATGTATTAGATAGTGGTTCCCAGATTTATTCATTTTTAAAAAACCTACAAACCCCATTATACAACTTAATTCTGATAGTAAAAGTGTGTGGGGCTATAAAAGATTTTATTTTGTAATTAGAAATTGACAAATGTGAGTCAGGTATGGTGGCATGTGCCTGTAATCCTAGCTACTTGAGAGGCTGAAGCCAGAGGATCGCTTGAACCCAGGAGTTTGAGGCCAGCCCAGGCAACATTGCCAGACCCCATCTGTATTAAAATAAATAAATAAAAGTAAATTTAAAAGTTTAACATTTGGAAGAATGAAATACTATTAAAATATCTATCAATTATTTAAGACATAAATATGAAGACATTTCACATATTTTATGTTAACATATGTTGGGTTTTCTGCTAATTATATTGCTATCTTGGGTACCAACATTTTTTAAATATACACTTAAAATTTTCGGCTGCTGGATACCTATTTTTCTATAGAATACATGGAATTATCTTTGTTATCTTTGTATTTCGTTTGTTAGCTCACTTTAATTCTGTGGTACTTTACCTTTTAATATTCCTTAACTATTTAGCTGATAATTTAAATATCTACCATAGTATTTTGCATATAACTTAAAGTATTTTTGATATTTATGGGCTCAAAGATTTTAAAGCTAAAATTCACTTCTGCATCATTCTTTCAATTGCATGTATTGAAGGACGTATTAAATGTTATGGTAGTCTGAAATAAGCATTTTGACATTTTCTGTTTGCCTAGCAAAGCACAGTTTGAAGAGTATGATTTTACGTCTTAAGCTACTATTATGTACATGGAGATGAGAGCTGGAATCCTATGCCTGTACAATATTTATCAAATATGCATATATATTTCTACCTAACACTTTCTTTTAAGCTTTATTCAGAATTAGGGTACTTTATGTTCTCTATTATAGTAAGACTTCTTAATTATTTTTCATGGTTTCCTGCAGTGTTAGATTACTTAAAATATTACAAATTTATAAGACAGAGGGAGATAGACTGTTAATTATTAGAAAGTCTAATTAAAGCAGTAGAACCTTACTCATTACTGCTTGTCCTGCCACATAATTTTCTTGATTTATTTTAAAGCCCAGGTAAATGTTGATTTAAAATGGAAGGTTTAAACCTGTTACCATCTGATAATAGTTTTAGATATCTTTCTGTTATTACTTATAAAATTGTAATGTGTAAAACCTGGGTATAATAGTTGGAATAGCAGGGGTTTTTTACTTTCTAATAGTGGATTCTGGTTTAATAAATTTTACTTCTATAACTTAAAATATTTTTATCTTCATATAAGTAAATATAATTCTAAGAAACAATATCTGCCACAAGTAATCATTTTCCTTAGGTAGTTTATGAATGGAATATCAGTTTACACCAAGCACTGAATAAGTTAAATATCCTTTTAATGCTGATTCCAAGGGTCTAGGAACCCTCATAATTCATCAGCAGAATTATTTGTGTTTACCCAAATTTTATAACTAGAGATAATATGCATAAATCTGGAACTACTTATATCTATTTTTTTATTATAACAAACTAAGATTTCAATGTCAAACTATACTGTACCTTTTATTATCACAATAACTAGGTTTTAATCCACTTACAAACTTAGAGGTCTATCAAGAACACAGATGCCCATATATCATAAAAAATTAAATAGATGAATCATGTCTTTGGACACTCTGAGCCAAACCATTTCCTTCAGCAACTAAACATAATTTTTCTTAACATGACACTTACGAAGGAATTGTGTTCGAGTTTGTAATATACAAACTATTAAGAGCTATAATAAGGATTTTTGGACAATTCCAATTTTAAACTGAGGTTTAGCGATTTAAATTGGGATTTAGTGATTCAAAGACCTTATCGTTAACCCAGCACATACCTGTCCCGGAAGTGTCCTAGTTATTGCTTTAAGGAAAAAAAGTATCAATGTAGAAAAGTTAAGGTATAGACCTATTCATTGTAATTCATAGATAATATATTCAGAATCTATAAATATCACTAACTTGAATGACTTTTTAAATGATTTTATTAGATAGCTTAGGAGGGAGAAAAATGGCTTCCAAAAAATATTTTTTTCTCTTTAAAACTGATGATCAACCATAGAAAATGATGTAAAACAAGGGACCGTGTACTTGCCGTATCTTTAAATAATCCAAGTTCATCTTTTATTTCAACAAAAATAAAGATTAAATGAGTGCCCATTCTCTAATAGTATATCATAGTTCTGTGGTTTGATGGCACAAACAAAGTGAAATACTTACCAAACATTATTGTCAAGAGGGCAATTGGCATCACAAACAATCCAACCAGCAAATCAGCCACCGCCAAGGACATTAGAAAGTAATTAGTAGCATACTGCAGCTTTTTCTCCAGCGAAACAGCCAGAATAACAAGGGTATTTCCACCAATTGTGGGTATTATCACCATGAGTATCAGAAGAGCTGCCCAGTGCAGTTTATTTCCCTGTTCCTCAACAATCTGTTTCATTTCCTCTGGTATTGATTCTGTCTGTAATCCAGACCAGTTAGAAGAGATAACGTGAACAAAGGTGCTCTGCAAAATGTGCTCAGGCATTGTGCTTTGAAGTTCAGACACTCTGTAAGAGAGAGCCATTTGCTGTTTTTCTGTGATTCAATCCCGTTCCGAACAGTGGTCAGCATGGTTAGTAGCTAAACTGGTCATCTGTTTTTTTAAGGCATTGTACCCATGTCAAACACTCGAAAGCCACAGTTGACACATTCCTTTAAAAAAAAAAATCCAAGTTCTCTAAAATGAGCTTATATACACATCTGTCCATGTTTGTAGGTAAGATCTCCAAGTATTTATTATTTTCTAAAGGCTTAAATTTAGAAGAGCTCAGTGAAAAGAAACTGATAGCTGTGAAAAAAAATAGGATATATATATATATTTAGTTTCTCTCTCTTTTTCTACCGTAGTTGTAGAGTCATGTTTGAACTTGCATGCCAGAGAGTTCCCCCTAGATACAAAATGCATAGATTGCATTATTTTATTCATTTCTGAAAGTGGTAAAAACTCTTGAACTTCATAGCCCTTCCCTTAGTAAGTCTGTTGTGCATTTGTGACAATGCAGCCAGTTCTCCAAGTATACTATATTTCTGATATTCCTCAGTTAATGAAACAGAAGACATTAATTTTTTCAATGGTTGTAATAAAAAGTTAGGTGTTTCCTGACCCTTCAATGTCTTTTTACCTTTACTTACAGAAGAATAGAAAAGTCGAAACACAATAGTTCAGAATAGAACTTTTAGTATGTGCTGACCACCCACCTGGAAACACTCCAAGCCCAACAAGGGTCTAAATGAATTATTTACCAGCTAGGAATCCTTATATGTAACTGGCTTTGTCTGACTAGGTTTGTAAGTACTAATATAAATGTCATTTTAGATTTCCTTTATTTTGAGAGAAGGAGAATAAATAGATATTACTAGGATCCATATAATTGTTTTTAGTAATTTCATCTCTCATGGTGTATTTTTGCAACAATTGTGTTCTAAATTTAATCACTAAATTTGCCAAATTCAAACCAATTTTTTTTGTTGTTGTTTTAAGTAGTGTTTTTTTGTTTTAACCTTCCCAGTTGCCTTGAGAAGAAAGGGAAACCAAAAGGAAAATTAAACCATTTATTTGTTCATCAAATGTACAAATCACATTTTAAAAAACTCTCCTTTAGCATTACTAAATTTTTCATTTTGATTTTTAAACCGCTGAATAGAAATGAAAGTTTATGATAGCAGAATTCTTGAAGATTTTAAAAAAAAAAACCTTTAGATTAATTCCATATGTGTTTGTTAAATGCTTACCTCTGGTTTCGTTGTTATTTTACCGAGCATGTCATCTTATGTGTTCACTGGACTTGCTTGCTGCTGTGACTGAAATCCTCCTCCCATTGACTTATTCTGAGCCTCCAGCACAGGCGGTTGAAAGCAGTGAAACAAATATGTTGGATAGCTGCAAGCATGCCAAGGAGGTTATTTCCTCTTTGATACATTCATTTTTAGAGAGTAGCAGCATTCATTCTAATTCTTAAATCACTGTTAAGCATGTTGAACCAGTTCATGGCCCTTATTCAAGTTATGTTTTTAAGAGCTCTCTTTAATGTTTGGGGGACTGTAATAAACTTGATCATTTTAGCTTCAGATAGTTTTGTTTGGGATTACGCCTGAGCTGTTTTTCCCGTTTGAGAAAAAATAAGATATAATCTAGCTATTGTAGAGGTTTCATTCTATGAAGATTCTGCCCTTTTAAAAGCCTATAGTGATTTCTGCAGTTTCTGTTTCTAGCAGTGAAACAAGATTCTTATCTAGCTTTTGTGCCTTTGCTGTGGAACACCATTAATTTGCTCTGGTTGCAACCTTATATAGAAGAGCACAGAAAGGCCTGAATTCTACATGTATACATAGGTTTTAGCAGAAACTTTTTTACTGCTTATTTTTAAACAGATGATCTCTGGGTTTAGGAGTGGTTCACAGCTTTTTTTCCCCGTAGATTTTACATTGAAGAAAATACAAGTAATGAAAATACTTTTTTGCCTTATTTCAGAAAATTGGTGTTTAAATCTTAATAGTTATGCTTATTTAAGTTTTCTCTAAGACTAGCTTAATATTAGAACTTCAGCATTCTCAAGGTTTCCTTTTAAAATATCATTATAGATGCATATTTTTAATTAATTACTTATAAATCAGTGATGGCATTTGTGCCCTTGTTTCAAATTTGTATTCCTTTGCTCATGTTGAATGTTACTGGAAAATACTTAGTTCATTTTAGCTCTGCTGAGCACTTCAGATTTTATTCAGTATTTGCTGCTTTTTTAAAAACTCAAAATTTACTATATTAGAAAAAATACTTGTGAAGAATTCTAGATGAAATAATACTCAATAGAAATCAGATGTTTGTTAATGTACCAGAATTTCTATTCAGGAATATGAAAATATTTTAAGGCAAGGCACGGTGGCTCGTACCTGTAATCCCAGCTCTTTGGGAGACCAAGACAGGTGGATTGCTTGAGTCTAGGAGTTAGAGACCAGCTTAGGCAACATGGCAAAACCCCATCTCTACAAAAAAAAAAAAAAAAAACACACAAAAATTAACCAGGTGTGGTGGTGCACACCTGTAGTCCCAGCTACTGGGTGGCGGTGGAGGAGTTGGGGGTTGGGGGCTGAGGGTCGGGGGAGACCTGAGGCGGGAGGATTTCATGAACCTGGGGTAGGTCAAGGTTGCAGTGAGCCAAGATTGCACCACTGCGCTCCAGCTTGGGGTGACAGAATGAGATCTTGTCTCTAAGATAAAAAAAGGAAAGAAAAGAAAATATTTTTAAATACTGCTTAGTTATGAGTTACACTTTGATATCTGTGCTTATGAAGGCAGATAGGGATCTGCAAAACAAGTAATGTCAGATTGAAAATAGCAGCACCATTATATCCAATGAAAAAACTTGTATGAAATAAGCCTTTATTGATTTGTTTATAGATAAAATTTTTAAAATATTAAGTATATTATAAAAATGCAGTCATTATTGTATTTGCTGGTATTAATCCTTTTACTCACATTCACTCATTTTTTGCCTCAACTTATAAAAGTAAGATTGGTACTTGGATTTTTTTTAATTTTGTGTTTTTAAGTCTGTTTAATGCCTAAGGAACATAACTAGTTAGAACAGCTACTTATTTGGCAATCTCAAGTTATGGGAAGCGTAGCTGAGAATCAAGAAAAAAGCAGAATAATAATAAATACATAGTTATATAAAAGGATAGTTGAGTCTCAGCAAATAACTGAACCTGTGCTTTAAAACCCTAAGTACTTTAAGTAGAAAGTAGCCTCTAAGTCCCCACTCCATCTTTTCACTCTCTGCGCACACATGTGCACAGACGTATACACACACACAAAACTGCCTCTCCCCCTCTTTAATGAAAATAACATTTGTACATGATGGTAAATGTAGATAGTACAAAAGAATGTTGAGTGATAAATTCGCTTGAGACAATTTTAATAAACATGTTTCCCTGCCTACTCCAGATGTGAGTAACAAGTTAAAAGGTGGACAAGCACTTTGATAATAGCAAATAGGGTCAACTGAAGCAACAACAACAACTCCCCCCCAAAAAAAAAAAAAACAAGAATTTAAGTGTATAAACATGTAGGTCTACTCAAAGTAGATGCTTGTAGCTTTTTTTTTTTTTTTTTAAGACAGAGTCTTGCTCTGTTGCTCAGGCTGGAGTGCAGTGGCGCAATTCAGCTCACTGCAACCTCTGCCTCCCAGGTTCAAGCAATTCTCCTGCCTCAGCCTCCCAAGTAACGGATTACAGGCACCTGCCACCAGGCCTGGCTAATTTTTGTATTTTAAGCAGAGATGGGATTTCGCCATGTTGGCCAGGCTGGTCTCGAACTCCTGACCTCAAGTGATCACCTGCCTCGGCCTCCCAAAGTGCTAAGATTACGGGCATGAGCCACTGCACCCCACGCCCTTTGACAACATTTTATGTGGCGTAGTGATGGATAGCATAGTGATGACCTCTGTGTACTTAAGAAAAGGCTAGATCACGTTCACTCAGCTGTGTTTTGGGTGCCAATAAATGGTGAAATGAATTTTTTAAAGATTTCTATCCAAATAATAATAAACATGAAAGTATGAGTCTTAATGGTAGAGTGAAGTTTTTAATATCTGGAAATTTCGTTTGTGTAGAGTATTTCCTTTCCCAAAAACTTCAGATAAAGTAACTCTTACTAAAATAACTTCAAGCTCAGACTCAGCCTCTAATCTAGCAATAACCAAAAATACCTAATCGGCTCGATTTTTTCTAAGACAATTGAATTTTCTCCCTGATGCCTTTTTAATTTATTGAGCAGATTCTGTCTTTGACCGAAAAGGGCAGTCTAATATCCTTTATAGGTCTAGGAAGACAGCTTAAATATCAGCCAAGATCCCCCATTTTTTTACCTCTCAGTCATAATACCTATTAAGCAGTAACCATTAAAGAATGTTTAACGTGACAGGGATTATATCTGCTATGTATTCATTTGTGAAGTATTTACTAAGTGCTATATGCTCATGGAGATGTATTAATGAATAAGATAAACATTTTCTATCCTCATGTAATTTATAATTTTATGGAGGATGCAAACAAGTATGTTGGTAACTATAGTACAGACATGGTAGAGCTAAGACTAGCTTACTTCAACAGGGCCTACAGTGGAGCTCAAATATTTCTCAGCTTTCTTTTTATTCATTCCTCTCATGTTCATACTCTTTGATAAGATCAGTGAAAGAGCTGAAACTGTAAGAATAGCTATTTCAAACTTAATCTGTTCTCGTTAGACTCCTTCATTCTCTCCTGAATGCCTGTTATTTTAATGAAAGACTTTGACAAATCAGAAACAAGCTCCCTCACCTTTCACTGTCTTCTCAAAATGTCTTTCTTTTCATCCATCCTATCCTTCTTTGAGATCATATTATCATTCTTTTCCACAATTGACTTCTACTTAGGTTCTTGATCCCAACTCATATGTATAGGAAGTCTGTGTTGCTTCCTCTGGCATTAGCAGCCTATACCAAGAGTGTGATAGGCTGCCATCTCTACTGTCAACGGCTAGTCTAGGAGTGGGGGTGTGGTAGGCAGACAGTTTAAAATGCCACAGTGTTCTCTTACCACAAAATAGCACCTTCTTCTTTAAGCCCTCCCCTGGTTAAGTTTTTTACTGGATTCCTGTATAAAAGTTGATCTAGACAACTTTTGCCAGGTTGTTATTGCCAGAATAAAAGAATACGATTTTTTTGTCATTGAAACTCTAGAGTACAACCTGATGTCATGAAATGGTGATGTCCTTTCATCAAAAGACTGCTATACCTGGAATTATAGTTGATAATCATAACCCAAATATCTTTTGGAGTAGATTTGCTCAACTTTGCATGTCCTCAGTAATCACAGTAATCAGCTATTAGAAATAGACTTTTATCATTAGAATACTTGTTTAAATATCAGAAGTGATTTAAACTTTCTGAGAATCAGAGTACATTTATGTACATTATTATAAAAATTAAATGCCAATAAAGTTCTCAATAAATAGCAATAAGTTGATGGCAGCTCACTCATACTGCAAGACTTTTCTTTGTTTGCTGATGAGAAATGGAAACAAGTGTGCTAATAATGCTGCAGCTTTGAATATTACAGATTTCTCTGGGTCCAGGAATGCAATCTGAGATTTTTAAGAGCTCTATGTGTTATGGTGACACAGCAATTTCTTTGTATAAAGCTTGTGACTCTTCTTCTTACATCTTTAAAATTCCCTCCCTCTCCCATTTTAGCAGCACCTGAAAAGAATTAGTCTTTTTGGAAATGTACCAAAAGCTTGCGTAAAACTATACTAACTTTTAGTTTTCTGAAGTCCAGGAAGATGACAACAAATACATTCTCTTTCAGTAAATTTGTAACGTTTGTGGCACAGTCTGTGTGGTTTTGTTTTTTGCTTTTCCTTATGGTACGTTATATGTATTCACTATATACTAAACTGGTAGAGTTAAAAGCTACAAATAGCAGTATCTTGGAATATGGAGGTACAAAAAACAAAAGTATGTTTGGGAAATAAAATTGTTTTCTTTCTCAGCTTTTTCCCTGAAAATGTTTTATGCCACAAAATTCAAAAAAGCGTAATATCTTCCCCCTACTTTTTTGTTTTTTACCTGTAATGGCACTGTTTGTTTTTGAGACAGAGTCTCACTCTATCACCCAGGCTGGAGTTCAGTGGCACTGTGTCAGCTCACTGCAACCTCTGTCTCCTGGGTTTAAACAATTCTCCTGCCTCAGCCTCCCAAGTAGCTGGGATTACAGGCACCCACCACCGCGCCCGGCTAATTTTTATATTTTTAGTAGAGACAGGCTTCACCATGTTGGCCAGGCTGGTCTCAAACTCCTGACCTCAGGTGATCCACTCATCTCGGCCTCCCAAAGTGCTGGGATTACAGGCATGAGCTACCACGCTCAGCCAATGGCACTGTTGTTTTTTTATTATTACAAGTTGTATAAACTAGCCAAAGAATAAAATAAAGGACAACAAGAAAAGTTGCTTGGATTCCCACAACATGTAGCTCTGTCATTGAGTACACATACAGCTGGCAAATTTATAATTGTCTAAGTATATATATTTTTAAATAACATATCAAAACATGTGAAAGAGCTAAGTTATAGGTAACACATTCTGTGCTAATAAAATGGTCTACCAAGTGTTGATTTTTTCCCTCTCCACTGCCCTCCCCTAAAATAAAGTCCACTGTTTTTCCTGTGATTTGACCATTTCTCAACATTTATTTTTCTAAATATGTTCTTTTGTTTTGTTTTTTGAGACAAGGCATCACTCTGTTGCCCAGGCTGTAGTGCAGTGGTGTGATCTCGGCTCAACTGTAGCCTTGACCTCCTGGGCTCAAGTGATCCTCCCAAGTAGTTGGGACTACAGGTATGCACCTCCATCCCCAGCTAATTTCTGTATTTTTTATAGAGATGGGGTTTCACAGGGATGCCCAGGCTGGTCTTGAACTCCAGGGTTCATGCATTCAATCCTCCTACCTCGATCTCCCAGAATACAGGCATGAGCCACTGTGCTTGGCCAGTTTTTCTAAATATGTTTATGGAGACATAGAAATAAGATTTATTGCTGATTAAGGATTAGTCATTTAAATACTTTGTTATAAATGCTGATCCAAGGTATTATAACAAACTGGAGGAATTGTTTTGTGTTGTTATCTAAGAGGCAAATGTTTATACAGAAGAAAGATTTAGGGAGTGTCAGAATTACTGAATATAAATGAAAAAAAGTCTAATGGACTGTTACTAATGATTTAATGTATTTTCTTTTAACCTGTAGGTTCTCTCTTCATCTCTTGCCTTGCCCTCTTTTCCTTTCTTTTCTTTCTCCTTGCAGTTTATTTGTTGAAGAAACAACAAATTTGTTTGTGTCCAATTGCCTTGTTTCAGTTCCTGATCACCTCTCACTGGAAATA